ATGGTTCAACTGGCGCCGAAAGCAGCTTTCGTCCCTGCGGCCGCCAACCGGCGCGAGCTTTCGGTAATCTGAAGCACTGAATTTTTTAGGGCTTTGCATTTTTTCGCGCCATGGAGGATTTTGGATCTCCCACGAAATGCCAGCAGAAAAAAATTAGTACAATTCACGGATTGTTTCAATTTTAGAGAGGATTTTGACTGTAGAGGTCAGAAGAGTCCTCTCTGCCTTCCAGCACTAGTTCCGTGATGATAACATTGCTACCGCAGTGTGGCCAGCCGGGGAACTGCTCTCCCTGAAAAAACCTGAGTCCTTCTTTATTGTTTTATGCTTTTTAAATAAGTGAAGAATTGTTTTTTAAATAATTAAAGAAAGAAGAAAACTTAGGACAGTCCCACAAGTAATTGAGTGCCCTCAGTCAGAGTCAGAGCGGACTCTGCTGTGGCAGAGCCCTGCCCCAGCTCTGCTGACATGCCTTCCTCCTCACAGGGATGAGCCGTGCCTCCCTCCATGCCATGCAGGCAGCTCCACGCCAGAGCTCCGGGAGCGACTCTGGATGCCTCTTCTGGACAGAGGAAGGCAAGAGCGCTGGCCTTCCTCTCCCTGGTCCAGAGGCTCTCCCAAGCTCTGGACATGTTGCCATGGGGGGTCAAGTTTTGCAAGGAGGCTGCTCTTCCAAAAATGAATGACTGAGACCAACACCCCACAGGAATGTGTCCTGCACGGGGATGGAAAGGAGGAGCAAATCCCTCCCAGGTGCAGTGCAAGGCTGCATCCTTCCCTTGGCAGCGGAGATGTGCAGGCCAGGCACATGCGGCTGGTGCAAGGGCCAGAGCAAAGCCCTGTTGCTGCCTCACTGGGAAAAAAGGGCAACCAGGCTGGGCTGCAAGGGGGAGCCAATGTTTTCCGCCTGATGCCAGCATCTTCTTAGCACCTTATTTCCCCCTCATCCCTGCATAAATCTAGGTGAACTCACTGACTTTATACACTCTCCCCTCCATGCAGCCATCTCATCTCTGCACTTTCCCATCCCGGGTGACAGGAACCCTGTAACTATTTATGGAGAGCTGAGTACGAGGCACAGAGCTTCAGCCTCAGGAGCGCTTTGTGTGTCAGACACTGAGGCCAAGTTCCCAGTTCCCAGGCAGGAATTGGGTTTCAATAGTCACAGCTGGATTTAAACCACTGGCTTGGTGTGAGAGCCACCAGTGCCAGCCAGCCTGAGTCAAGCCAAGTAGGCAGACAGAGAAGAAGGGAGACAGAAATCTTCAGCTGTGTAAAAGTGACGATTAAGAGGAGAAGAATGACAGGTTCTTTGTGTTGATGGAGGATAGTGTAGAAATGAGTGGCTCCAACTGCAGCAAAAGGGCTGTCAGACATCAGGAAAAATGTCCCAACAAGAGTAGTGCAGCAGCAGGAGGACAGATCTTCCAAGAAGGTCATGAAGTCTCCATTGATGATGATTTATAAAAGTAGGATTCACACCCAGGGGTAAGAGCTGAGCAGGCTGCCTTGGGAAAGCTCTCAAGGTTCATGCAGCCCTACTTTTATGGCTGGGATTTGAGACTTGTCCTAGGTTTGCAAAATAAAAGCTTGAACCTGAAACTGGCCATCAAAAGCCTGGCCTCTGCATCCTTTCTCCTGCTGGGACACAGACACAGTATGGGTTGTGGTTAGGGTTCCCCTCCATTGACTGCAGTCACATCTGTGCTGTACCTGGAAACCTCCATCAGGTTCTCATCGGGGTCTCGGAAGTAGACGGATGTTATTGGACCCACGGCACCAGTTCTGGCCACGGGACCTTCTTCAATGATCACCCCACAGGCCTGGAAAGACACGTAAGGGCAGGGTTTTAATGCTTAAGATAGTCTTACCAGGGCATTGTGCACTCTTCCCCCAGTTAAAAAGGTGCCGTGTGTACATCCAAAACAGGGCAAGTGGCCTGAAGCTTGGGCAGGAGATGAGTTTGGGCTGTTCTGAAAATGTTAACCATCTTTTTCTCTCCTTGCCAATGGAAATATCAAAACAAGAGCCTGTCAGACATCTTTAGAGGATGTGTGGGTTGGACAAGAGCTTGTCAGACATCTTTAGAGGATGTGTGGGTTTGAGGGTTCTCCTCCTTCAGTCCTAGAAACCATTTTTCAAAGAACCTTTCTTTTTTTTTTTTCACTTTGACTCCTTCTGCAGTATGGTTTGGACTTCCCTCTGACTCAGCTTGACTGTGTTGAAACTCAGAGCTTGATGGCCTGCAGCTTGTGCTGGTCCTACCATCCCCACTCCAAGGAGGTGCCCCAGAGACCCTATCAGAGATCCACAAGGACCAGCCACTGGCCCAGAACTGCAGTTCCAGCTTCCCTAGACCCAGGATGAGCCTGTCCCCCCATGTTACCTTGAAAGTCACCACCTCCATGCCCAGGACTTTGGAATAAAAGGCCACAGTGTCCTCGATGCTCTTCACAGTCAACACAAGGTGGTCCAGCCACTGGATGAAACATGGGAGTGGATTCATACACTCCTCCTTCCAGGACATCTCAGGGCTGGGAGCTAGCATGCAAAACCACAGAAGATGAAGGTTAGGAGTGTCCAGCTGCTCAGGGAAACAGTCCAGGCAGCTGTGAACTGCACTGTGAATGGAGATCAAACAGGTTTTCTTTTGGCCTGCAGGTGGCACAAGTACAGAAGCAATAAATTCTCCTCCCTGGAAGGGCCTCAGATCCTCACTTTGCTCTGGTCGGACCTGAGTATGTCAGAGCCCCTGGCTGGGGCCAGATCTGGAAGACCAGCTGGGTGACCTCGCTGAGGACTGATGTCACCAAGATGCTGAGCTCCCAGTGCACAAAAACCTGTGTGCACCAAGGATGAACCATGCATGTGATCCTCCCCTCCAACTCCTTCTGGTGTCCTCCCAACCTTCTCCATGTCCAGGTGCAGACACTCATCCAGGTGGAGCAAAGACAGAGAGTGAAGACAAGCTGGGCCCTGGCAGTGCAGTAGGAAATGTCTCTGGGGGAAGAATATTCCTGGGGGAAGAGGGCACCAGGGCTGAAGCAGCTGCTTGGTGTGCCCATGGAAAGGTGCTGTGTCATTATCTTGCAGGAAGGGGACAGAATCCCTTCTGGTGCCTATATAATATAGCTGTAAAACATGGACCATAAGACAAGGACTGTGACCCTGAGCAGCGCCAAGAGGATGGGAACTTGCCACCAACATGGCTGCACTGTGGGACTCAGCCCAAGGGGCAAATGGCTGAGGGCTCTGGGACTGTGACACGGTGGCTTGGAGGGGAACATCAGTTTTAGGAAAATTGAGTGCTGTAAATATTTCGGTGACCTACTTGTCACGTCTCTGCTTCACTTCAGCCCCATCCGCGCCAGAGCAGGATACCCAATGATCCTGCTCTGATGGCTCCAGTGACCCTCTGATGATCCCTGAACCCCTGATCATCAACACACATTTGAAGCAGGCTCAGGCTGCTTAACTCAATGGCAGCAGATCTTCCTGCTGTTCTCCAGAGCCCGGCAGAACCTTTGCACCAAGCTGTGAAAAGGAAATGGATTCAGCCCTGGTGGCCTGAATGATATTTTTAGGAGGCTGTGAAGTTTTCATTTCATTTTGGGTTTGGTTGATTTTACCTTCAGAAAACCTGGCTGCGGAAACTAGGAGGGTTGTAACAAGCCTCTCAATGACAAATGGAGTCAAGTTTCCTTCAAATCAGTAATGGCTCTCTCTGCTTAGATACATTTACTTCTCGCTCTTAAAAAGCCCCAAATACTGATGTAAATGACAATTCACTCTTCTGAGACCCTCAACAGGTTCTCCACTGATACCCCTGTGCAAGGGAAGCCCGACACTCCTGCTGCCTCTCAGAAAAAAAACAGGTGGAAAATAAACCCTCTCAACTCTAATGCAGCACAAAGTGGCACAAATCAGGAAAACAGCCCACAACACCAACCCCTTTTTGCCTTGTCATTTGCCTTGAAACTGCTAGACATCATCTGCAGGCAGAGGGTGAGGCTGATGCCAGAGGTTCAAGGAGGTGCAGCATGAGGGGATGGGGGACTCAACAGCCTGGGTTTACAGTGGTTCTCGGTGTTTTCTCTTATGTTGAGTTCATATCCTCTGGCATCCTTCTGCAGCAGAGTGCATGGGAAATGACTGGCAAGGAGAGATCTCAAAGCCCCGTTGACACAGGAGCAACGTCAGCATAAAACCAGGCACAGTTTCACCGGGGCATCTGCTCACTGCAGTCAGAGGAGCTTGCTTGGAGCAGGACCCCGTTGTCCCCAAGCCCAAGCTGGGACTGCAGCATGGCCTGGACTGTGCCTGGTGATTGCACCACTTATGGGGGGAAGCTGTTAACAGAGGCAGCGGAAAGTCATTGCTCCTCCTTGCTGCAGGTGGCGTTTTGTGTTTAATAACCTCACCTCCGAGCAACCCGGGCTCAGTCCCTCTGCAAAGTCCTTTCCACCCAGGAAGTCTTCCCGGGTGCTCCCAAGTTGCAGGGCCCTCATGTCACAGCCTGCAGCTCCCACCTCCTGCCTAGCAAACCTTGCCAATACAACCCTCCCCTCCCACGTGAGCCCCTCAGCAAACAACTGCAAGGAAACTGGGCTGCAAAAATAGGCTGAGTACCTGCGAGAGAGGCTGAACCGCTGGGCAAGCCGGTGCCAGACGGTTCCCTTATGGCCGTCCTCTTTCTCCTGCCCGGAGCCGAGCGGTACAAGCAAGCAACGTCACAGGAGAATGGCAGGGGGAAAACGACGAGATTAGAAACAGGAGCTCTGAGCACTGCTCCCCACAGAGGTGTACCTTGACCCGAAGGACCTGGAAGTCCAACTACATAGAGCTGTTTGAAAAATCCCGGAAAAGGAGTCTGGATATTTCAGCCACATATCTCTCCCTTTGCAAGGGAAAGATGTGTTAATGTGCTATATTAAAGCACACAGTTGAGCTTGGTGCTCAGACTGGGGTGACTTGCTGTTAAGAAGAAGCAAAGACGTCCCTGGAGAAGAGGAGCTGTGGTGAGCAGCTGCAGTAGGCTCCCCACCTCGCCGGCAGCGGGCAACCTGCCTGTTCACCTCTTTCCCTCCAAGATTATTTTCTACCATGCAACATGCTGAGGTCTTATTGCCCTGCGAGGCACTTGCTGTCCCTGGGAGCACTGCAAAGCTCCCACTAATAAAAGATGTATGAGCTGCAGGTGCCGTGTTAACAGCCAATACGTAGCAAGGAGCAATAGAAAAGGAGCCTCAGGGTGACGTGCACAGCTTTGGGCACCTTTTCGGACACCCCCTCCTGCAAAAAGACATGTCTGAAGGGGTTCTCTGTGGCCCAAGGCAAAGTTAGAGATTTTCTCTTTCTTCCTCTACGAAACCCAAATCTGTCAAAAATAAAATGGAGTTTTGAAAGGTCTGAAGCTCTCTGGGCAGTTGGCTCCAACGGAGTGAGTAGTTCAGGCTGCGGAAAATCTGCCGGGCAAGTGGTTCAAGGCACAGGACATTCTGTGTTAAAATCGTTCTGCTTAGACCTTCTCCACCCAAGCTGCCCACGTTTCACTGTGTACAGCAACACGGCAAATAAAACCAGAATTTCTGATATGTGGAAATAGCTGAAAATGGTTTTTTGCCTCAGATCAAGGGAAAGAACATCTGTGGGTTGCTGTGGGAGGGAGCAGTCAAAGTCCCTCTATCCTTTTTGTACATCCTTTTTGGATTTTTCTCCCCTAATTGTCCAAGTTGGCCCACAGAATTTCCCCCAAAGCCACTCCATGGGTTATCATCTACTGTCAACTAGCAATGGTGAGGGTGAGTAGGTTAGACAAGCTAATCCCGGGACATGCAATACCACCCTCGTGCCTTCCTTGTCTTGAAGGTCACTGTGGGTTTACTCACACTGGAGAAGGCAGAGCTGAGGTGGAAATCCCACAGCCGGAGCCCAGCGAAAGGCTGTTCCTCCCCAGCACGGTGGTGTCCCTTAAGAGTCCTCCAGTGGGGGGACTGCCACCGGTCTCAACACGAAACAACAGAAAAGAAGAGGATGCCAATGCTCTGAATGGGGAAAGAGGCTCATAAATCTGCCCCGAGGGTAATTATGGAAAACAGACCACATTTATTTTCGAAACATGGGTGACAGCCCACTCCTGCAGGCTCTGCAGCAGCCTTCTGCCAGCTGGCCCGGACTGGGGCAAGCAGGACAGAGAGCTGCTCAGCTCACGCTACAGCCTCGCTTGGAGGAGGCTGTTGACACCCCTTCCCTCTGTCAGCCCCTGATTTTCACAAGACATGCAGGAGCTGACTGTCTTGGTGATTTCTGCTGTCCTGTCCACTCCAGACCAAGGGGTTTAATAGCTACACAGGGGGGCTGACAGACAGACGGACAAGCAGCAGGTGGACCTCCCAAACCTCATTTTCTTGGGAAAAATCCTAATATCTTTTCTTTACTAAAACTCCCAAAGTTGCTAGCACCCACAGGTGCTAGCAACGGGACCATTGACATTGACGCCTGACAGGGCTTTGAGGGCACTAATTGGCCTTAATAGCCCTGACCAGCCTCACCTGAGGGCTTCCACCCACACCCATGGGTCCTGGAGGATATTTAAGCTCTTCTCAGGGCCTTTACTCCATGCCTGACTTTTGGTGTAGGGGTGCTGGTCTCCAGCCTAGCTTCAGATGTGCCTCTACCTGGCCGATGACCCTGCTAGTCTAGATGTCAGCTTATAGACTAATATCCTTGTCCTTGACCCTGTGTCATCACTATGGGCCTGATTGATTGGGGTTTTTTTGTACTGAACCAAAGAGTTCAGGATCTTCAGTTTTTTAGAGAGAAGGTTATAATGGACAGCATGTTAGCCCCACGATTATCATCACAAGATACAGAGGCTGTATTTTCAACAATAAAAATATATATGCGAGTTGTGATGTTGCTACAGGATGCTTCATAAGAAAATGAGGTAAGAACAGGCAACTCCCTGAGAGACCAGTTTGGATCTCTAGAACTGTAGCATTTGCTCCACTCCAGTTTACGTGCAAGTAAATCCTTTCTCAGCTAAAAGCAATAAAACTTTTTATATTAATAACTCTGAACTTTCATCTGTCTCTACTGAAGAGCTGGTAGAGCAATGGTGCATGTTCTGATACCTGGATATAGTAACACTACACGCGTCTGGGTGTCTCGGTGTGTTGTAACCCTCTTGTTTTAGCACAGGTTCACTGTGAATTCTGAGAGTAGATAAAAAGGAGAGAGTTCGTGGAGAGAAGATGCCTTTTGCTGTTCAGCTGCACTGGGACTTCCCAGTGCAGGTCTGCTGAAAAGGTACAGTGCTGGCACTCACTTTGGCAGAAATTTGAGGTTTGGGAGGGTTTTTTTACCAGCTGCATAATGGTTTCTTGGAGCAGGGAAGCTGCGATTTGGGTCTGAAAACTCCACATCCCCAAGGGAGATCTAGCCTAAGACAGACAAGTCAGATGCACTTTGGCATTAAGTTCAGGATGGGACCCCCATATATCAAACTTCAGTTTGGGAAGGATTTTG